ACACACACACACACACACACACACACACACACACACATACTCGCAGACACATACATCAAGTAAAAATGAACCTAAAAATGGCGACACCACTAGGCCTGAGACCTTACTTCCTGTGCCCTGCAGATATCAGTGAGCTCCTGCACTCCGTGACCCTGCTTACCCACTTGACCAGTGACACCATCATTCAGGGGAGCGCCACCAGCCTCCGGGCCCCCCCAGAGCCGGCCGACTGTGAGTATCAGAGTGGAAGGGGTACCCCCGCGAGCCAGGACGACAGGGGCATTTAAACACCTGTCTCTTCTGTCTCCAGCTCTGACAGAGGCCTGTAGGCAGTATGGCAGGGAAACCCTGGCCTACCTGTCCTCCCTGGAGGAAGAGGAAGCCATGGAGAAAGCTGACGGCACAGCCATGAGGAACTGCCTCAGCAAGATCCAGGCCATTGGCGAGGTATTGTTAGTGATGTGGTTTGCTTTTTGTTATTGTTTGGTTGTCTGAGACAAAGTCTTGTGTAGCCCAGGCTAGCCTCGAACTTTCTATGTAGCCAAGGATGACCCTGAACTCCTCTCCTCTTGTCTCTGTCTCCTGGGATTACAGGTCTAGACCACGATACCTCGTTTATGTGGTGCTGGGAATGGAACCCAGGGCTTCAGGAGTGCTAGACAAGCGCTCTAACTGAGCCACTTCCCCAGCCCTGTTTGGTTTTCTGTTTGTCTTTTGAGATGGTCTGACATAGACCAGGCTAGCCTAGAACTTGTCATGTATCCAAGAATATCCTGGAATGGCTGATTCTCCTGCATCCACCTCCCATGTACGAGGATTGCGGGCACACACCACCATGCCTACACAGAAAGTCGTTTTTTAGAAAAAGATTGTATGATTGTATTATTTGTGTGTGTGTATGTGTGTGTGTGTGTGTGTGTGTGTGTGTGTGTGTGTGTGTGTGCATATACATGCCAGTGTGTAGGTAACCTGCCAAAAGAGGGCATCAAATCTCCTCTATCGCTGCCTGTTCCTTTGATGCTGGGTCTTAGAGAGCCCTGAGACCTCTGCTAACCTGAAAGCCAGCCACCTCCAGACATCCTCTGCCTCTGCTCCACTCAGAGCTTGGGACGCGGTCATGTGCCAGATGCTAAGCTCTTTATGCCGGTGCTGGGATCCGAACCCCAGAACTCATGATTGAGCAGCAAGCCCTCCTACCCACTGAACTATCTCTCCTGTGTATCCACCTGGACGCCAGAAAGAGCTGGGGCTGAGAATCACTGGCATCCTTGTATTTAGAGACAGGATCTCACCGTGTAGCCCAGGCTGCTCACATATTTACAGGCCCACTGCCTCAGCCTCTCACGGGCTAGGATTACAGGCTGGTACCAACACACACACAGCAAGTCCGTCCAGAAGGACTTTCTAGCTGTGTTTAATTCACTGGCCTGCTGAAGGCCTCACTGTCAAGGGGATAAATAGTACAGTTGATGCCCGTGACTACGGAGTTAGGGCCTATGTTAGTCTAGTATCTTGTCGCTGTTAAAAACACCTGCAAAAGCAGCTGGAAGAAGGGTTTGTTTTAGCTCACGGTTTGAGGCTTTGGAGGGACTAGTGGCCTCCCAGTTGGACATGGTTGTGTAATGTGCAGAGAAGGGAGGAACATGAGGTTCCATGTTGTTTCATTTTACTCTTTGGCTCTTTATCCTTTGGGGGACTGGCCATTCAACTCCCAAATAAATACACGGAAACTTATTCTGACTTATAAATGCCTGGTCTTAGCTTGGCTTGTCTCTAGACAGCTTTTCTTAATTATTCCAGTCTACCTGTGACCTCTGGGCATCTTTCTTTCTTACTTCATTGCTGGTTGTGTAGTTGGGTGACTGGCCCTTGAGTACTTCTCTCCTTCTCCTTTTCTTTCTCCTTAATCTTCTCTTCCCAGATTTTTCCTCCTATTTATTCTCTTTGCCTGCCAGCCCCATCTATCCTTTTTCATGCCTAGCTATTGGCTGTTCAGCTCTTTATTAGACCATTTGGGTGTTTTAGACAGGCACAGTAACACAGCTTCACAGAGTTAAACAAATGCAACATAAAAGAATGCAACACATCTTTGCATCATTAAACAAACATTCCACAGCATAAAAGAATGTAACACATCTTAACTAAAACTCTACAACAGTTCCAACATTCACATGGAAAGTTCCAGGTGGAGTCTGTGACAGACCCTGCCTCCTATGACAGACCCCGCCTCCCATGCCTCATAGAAGGTTCCCATGACAGGTCCAAGAGAAAGCTAAGAGAAGACCAAGTGTCTTTTTTTAACCTCTGTGATATTGTTCACAGGACCTGCTGCCCAGAGGCCTGGACATCAAACAGGAAGAGCTGGGTGACCTTGTGGACAAGGAGATGGCTGCCACTTCAGCTGCCATTGAAGCTGCCACCGCCCGGATAGAGGTGAGAGGATTGTGTAGGATTTCCCACAGCAACATTTCTGTCAGTTCCCTCAGGCAGTGCTATGCCTCGGGAATGTCTTTGTCAAAACTGCCAAGTGTGATGGTGCAAACCTGTGATCTCAGCCCTTGGGAGGTAGGAGCAGGAGGTTCATGATTTTAAGGTGATCTTCAGCTAGGTAGTAAGTTTGAAGCCAGCCTGGGCTGTGTGAGATATTGTCTCAAAAAGAAAAAGGAGAGAAAGAGAAAAGAACACAAAACCAAAGGCCAAGGTCACTGCCTCAATGAGGGGATGAAAATGGGGTCCTTACAAAGAAAGATGAGTTTCCTCCAAAGTAGGATATTTTGGTGTCAGGCCACCTGGGGTTCAGTTTTCAGGCTGCCTGATAATTACATGACTTATGTGAGTTATGTCACCCGGCTGAGACTTAGATCCTGTTTCTTTTCTTTTTTTTTAAGACTTATTTATTTATTGTGTATACAGTATTCCACCTGCATGTATGCCTGCAGGCCAGAAGAGGGCACCAGATCTCAATACGGGTGGCTATGAGCCACCATGTGGGTGCTGGGAATCGAACTCAGGACCTTTGGAAGAACAGCCAGTGCTCTTAACCGCTGAGCTATCTCTCCAGCCCTAGATCCTGTTTCTATAGGATGGCCATTGATTTAGCTTCATTTCTGTTGCTGTTACAAAGCATCTTAACAAAAAGCAGCTTAGGGGAGAAGGGTCTATTTTTGCTTACAGTTTGAGGGTACCGAGAAGTCACCATGGCAGAAGCTGGAAGCAGCTCATCCCATCCTATCCGCAGTCAAGAGCAGAGGGCATTAATGCATACGTGTTCTCTTGCTTGCTTGTGCTCAACTTGATCTCTCCACTCTTCACCCCCCCCCCAGGGCAGAGGAGGGGGAAGGGTTTGAGACAGGGCTTCTCTATGTAGTCCTGGCTGTCCTGGAACTCACAGAAATCCACCTGCCTCTCCCTCCTGAGTCCTGGGATTAAAGGTGTGCCCCACCATTGCCCGGTGATTTCTCTACTCTTTTTTTTTTTTTTTTTTTTTTTTAAAGATTTTATTTATTTATCATGTATACAGTATTCTGTCTGCATGCATGCCTGCAGGCCAGAAGAGGGCGCCAGTTCTTGCTACAGATGGTTGTGAGCCACCATGTGGTTGCTGGGAATTGAACTCAGGACCTCTGGAAGAACAGCCAGTGCTCTTAACCGCTGAGCCACCTCTCCAGCCCCGATTTCTCTACTCTTAATGAAGTTCAGAATCCCCTGTCTAGGGAATGGTGTTGCCTACAGTGGGCTAGGTCTTCCCACATATGTAAATTTAATTAAGACATCCCTCCCACAGACATGCCCATAAGCCAACCCAATGTAGACAGTCTCTCACTGAGACTCTCTTGCTGAGTGAGTCTAGGTTGTCAAGTTGACTGTTAGAGCTAGCCATCACCGTCATAATAATAAAATGTCAGAGGTCGCCTGGTCGGTGTTAAAGAAGTCCTCAGGAGAAGCTGAATGGGTCCTGTTGGAAAGGTCTCACGTGGCTTCTTTGGTGGAAAACTCACTCCCTGCTGTGGTGTGAGCACCTGCCTTGTGGATCTGGTAGCAGCTGACCCTGGTGGTCAGGTACCAGAGCTCTTGGTGTTTCATGCACATCAGCCCGAGTGCCAAGATCGAGACTCTACTGACTGGAGCAGTCAGCTCCAGCTGTCTACTATCTGATAGATGAGAGGTCTGGGGTGTTCTGACTCACAAGGACAGAGATGAAGCTATCTAGGTTCAGCCTTCTGTGCTACCACACCTGGTTGGATCCAGAGTGTATCAAGGTCGTGGTGGTTGATCAGGTTCATGATACATTTAGGAACCATGTTTCTTGGGGTGGGGATGTAGCTTGCCTAGAATCCCCCAGTGAGGGGCTGGGGTGTGGCTCAGTGGTAGAGCACCTGCCTAGAATCCCCCAGTGAGGGGCTGGGGTGTGGCTCAGTGGTAGAGCTCCTGCCTAGAATCCCCCAGTGAGGGGCTGGGGTGTGGCTCAGTGGTAGAGCCCCTGCCTAGAATCCCCCAGTGAGGGGCTGGGGTGTGGCTCAGTGGTAGAGCCCTGCCTAGAATCCCCCAGTGAGGGGCTGAGGTCCTGGTTTATCAAACAACATATAGGAAGCCTGGGCTTAATTCCCAGTAATACACACACACACACACACACACACACACACACACACACACACACACACACACAGAAAAAAAACCAGACGTGCTTCTTTTTAACAGGAAATACTCAGTAAATCCCGAGCAGGAGACACAGGAGTCAAGTTGGAGGTGAACGAAAGGTCAGTGTGAGCCTTGTGGTCGCAGTAGGTAAGCCCAGCCCTTGAAAGCAAGGCCCAGAGTGAAGTGTCACTCACTCGGCAGCTTTCCTCCAAGGCTTCGCCTCAGGCTCCCCAGCAGTCCCAGCACCTTTCCTGCCCCTCATCGCTACTCAAGGTTTTCCTGGTTTAGGAATGAGAAAGTAAGCTGTCCGCTCTCTTCTTACTGTCCCCGTCCCCAACCCTTTCTTTTTCCTAGGATCCTGGGTTCCTGTACCAGCCTGATGCAAGCCATCAAGGTCCTGGTGGTGGCCTCCAAGGACCTCCAGAAGGAGATCGTGGAAAGTGGCAGGGTAAGCGGGGCACTGGTGTGGGCTCCTTCCCCTTCCCTGTGTGCTGGACTCTGCTTTGCTGTGGCCTCACGGCCTCCCTCACGGGCAAAGCTGCCACTCTTAGGGAAATTTCCCAGACACTGGCAAGTTGAGGGTTCCTAGTAGCTGTCTCTAGGGGCAATCAGCCAGTTCCTTCTAGCCCCAGCTTCCAGGCCACACAGACCTGCTGTGGAAACCCTGCTGCCACCTCCAATCTAGGTCTTCAGGGACAACTGGGGACTTTGGAGAACTGGGCAGATCCCAGGAATAAACCTGGTACTGCCATCCCTCAGGCACAGATGACAAGTCTCTATAGATTCCCAGACCTGCAGATACTTAACCCTTTTAATAATCCAAATGCTCGTAAGGCTGAGGCAGGAGGCTCTCAAGTTTGACCTCAGCATGGGCTACATAACTGGGTCTTTTCTCAAAACTCCCTCTGTGAGTCAAGGCTATAACTCGATTGGTCAAGTCCCTGCTTGACATCTATAAAATCTTGGATTCCATCCCAAACACTTCATAAAACCACACATGGTTTATTCCCAGTATTGGGAGGCAGAGGCAAGCAGATCTCTGTGAGTTCAAGGCCAGCCTGGTCCATACATAGAGACCCCATCTCAAATCAAAAATGTTATGGGCTGGAAAGATGGCTGAGCACTTCCTGGTCTTCTGAGGGGTCTGAGTTTGGTACCAGCATCCACATCAGGTGGTTCACGACTGCCTGTAGCTCCTGCTCCAGGGCATCAGATGCCTCTGGCATCACTGGGCACCTGCATTTTCTTAACATAAACATACACAATTAAAAGTTAAAAATAAATCTCTTTTAAAAGCTGGGGATTTACTTTAATTCATTACCTCCAAGACCTTAAGGATGTTATTTTGCCTTATTACACCTTAGTTTTCTTATACCTAAAGTGAGAATAAAGGCACTTAGCACTTGGTAGGCATTCTATAAAATTGGCCATTAATAGCTGGGTAGTGGGCCAACAAGATGGCTCAGCAGGTAGAGGAGCTTGCCACCATGCCTAACAACATGAGTTCAAGCTCCAGGTCATACATGGGAGGAAGACAGAGCCAATGCCTACAAGCTTTCCTCTGACCAACCTTTTCCTTTGCACCATGGCATGGACATGTCCCACCCACATGCACACGCAAAATACATAAGTAAATGTAATTTAAAAGAAAAAAACCTGGGTATGGTGGTACATGCCTATAATCCTAGCACTTGGGAGGTTGAAGCAGGAGGACCAAGAACTGGAGGGTAGCTTAGGCCATGTAGTAAAGCCTGTCTAAAAATAACCCGGGCTGGAGAGGTGGCCTGTCGGTTAACCTGTTGCCCTTGCAAAGGACCAAGATTCAATTCCCAGCACCCAACATGGCAGCTCACAGTCATCTGTAACTCCAGATCCAAGGGAGTTGACCCCCTCTTCTGACCTCTGCACACATGTGCATGTGCATGCAGACAAAACCCTCATGCGTGAAATCTGCTTAAAGATTAAAATAAAAACAACCAACCAAGCTGTGATATTTTTGCTTCCATAGGGTACTGCATCCCCTAAGGAATTTTATGCCAAGAACTCTCGCTGGACAGAAGGACTTATATCTGCCTCCAAAGCTGTTGGTTGGGGAGCTACCGTCATGGTGTAAGTGTCTGGCTCCAAGGCTTCCCACATCCCCTTCCTCATTCCATTGATCCACCCCAGACAGATAGGGTCTCAAAAAAATTTTATTTTTTTATAAATAAGGTAAACTATACCTGAGGAAAGATATGTGAGGTGGCCCTCTGGCTTCCACATGCTCTCTCTCTCTCTCTCTCTCTCTCTCTCTCTCTCTCTCTCTCTCTCTCTCTCCTACACACACACACACACACACACACACACACACACACACAAATACAAAAAGTAGTGACTGGTACTGTATGTTTGCAAGGGACCTGGGGTCTCCCAGGACAACACAGGGGTAGGGCAAGCAGGCTGCCTTTCCTGCCTGGCCAGGGACTTAGGGGTTGGCTGGAGGTGGGATGGTGATGGTTTCTGTTCTCTGCGACCTCCTCCTCCGTGTCTCCCCTGGGTTCTCAGGGATGCTGCTGACCTTGTGGTCCAAGGCAAGGGGAAGTTCGAGGAACTGATGGTGTGTTCACACGAGATCGCTGCTAGCACAGCCCAGCTTGTGGCTGCGTCCAAGGTAGGACCCGCTAGTGCTGGAGGCTCAGCACACTGTGAGGCTGGCTGGGTCAGAGAGGCTCCAAAGAAAAACTTTAAACAGGGGCCGGCGAGACGGCACAGTCAGGAAAAGGTCCTTGCCGCTAAAACTGATGATGTGAGTTCGATCCCTGGGACCTCCGTGGTGGAATGAGAGAAACGACTCCCACAAGTTGGTCTCTGACTTCCATATGCACACCATGGCATGCCCACCTACACATAAATACTAATTAAAAAAAAATGATAAAAAGTAATTTAAAACGGGCTGAGGAAGCTGGGTAGTGATAGCTCACACTTTTAATCCCAGAACTCAGGGGGCAGAGCCAGGCTGATCTCTGTGAGTTCAAGGCCAGCCTGGTCTATAGAGCAAGTTCTAGGACAGGCTCCAAAGCTACAGAGAAACCATATCTTGAAAAACCAAAAAGAAAAAAAAAAGGGGGCGGGGGGAGGCAGCAGATAGTTTATTAGCAAAGCACTTGGCCCAGATTTACTGGTAAGAGACAAGGGCCATAGCTCAATGGTAGAGCACCTGCCTAGAATCCCCCAGTGAGGGGCTGGGGTATGACTCAGTGGTAGAGCACCTGCCTAGAATCCCCCAGTGAGGGGCTGGGGTGTGGCTCAGTGGTAGAGCACCTGCCTAGAATCCCCCAGTGAGGGGCTGGGGTATGACTCAGTGGTAGAGCACCTGCCTAGAATCCCCCAGTGAGGGGCTGAGGTATGGATTATTGGTAAATCGCATGGCCCTGGGTTCCATTCCTAGTATCCAAAATCAAAACAGTATCTATTCACTGGGTATGCTATCCAGGCACACACCTTTGATCCCTGTACTCAGGAAGCAAAGGCAGGTGGACTTCTTGAGTTTGAAGCCAGCCTGGTGTACATAGTGAGCTCCAGGCCAGCCAAGGCTCCAGAGTGAGAGAGACCCTGTCTTAAAAAACAAAAGTATTTGGTGATGAAACTGCTGAGCAGAGACTACAGGTCACCTGACTTGGCCTTTAAAGTCCACGTGACCAGTGTCTGCCCCTCCTTTGTTGAACTTGAACCACTGGCCCATTTAACCCTCATGCAAAGCTGTTGACCAAGGTCTCCTCACCAGGGAAACAGAACTTCAGCGGTGAATGGCCTTTCTTCCTCCCTTTCTTAGGGTCCCAGGTTTTCCCACACCCGGAAGAGTTCATGCAGAAAACTGTTCAAGCTAGAGTGCAGTGTAGATAACCCAACCTATGTGCCGGGGGTGACTTTCTATTCTAGACATGTCAGGGGCTGGTCCCACAGGAAACAATGATTTTGAGAGGTTGACTGGTAACAACAGTCGGGGTTTGCTGGGCACCACCAGGCCAGCTGTTTGGTCCCGTCCTCGCTGCTTCTGATGTAGCCTGAACGAAAATGTCCTTTGTCCCGGCAGGTGAAAGCTAACAAGGGCAGCCTCAATCTGACGCAGCTGCAGCAGGCCTCTCGGGGAGTGAACCAGGCCACGGCCGCCGTGGTGGCCTCAACCATTTCCGGCAAATCTCAGATTGAGGAGACAGGTAGCCTTTCAGCCATTGCGAATCTCTTTCCCCATGATCTCAATTTAGTTCTGTTTTGTTTTTGTTTTCTTCTTCTTCTTCTTCTTCTTCTTCTTCTTCTTCTTCTTCTTCTTCTTCTTCTTCTTCTTCTTCTTCTTCTTCTTCTTCTTCTTCTTCTTTCTTCTTCTTTTCTTCTTCTTCTTCCTTCTTCTTCTTCTTCTTCTTCTTCTTCTTCTTCTTCTTCTTCTTCTTCTTCTTCTTCTTCTTCTTCTTCTTCCTCTTCTTCTTCTTCTTCTTCTTCACCTTCTCCTCCTCCTTCTCCTCCTCCTCCTCCTCCTCCTCCTTCTTTTTTATGTGTGGTGTTGGCATATGCATACAAGTGTTTACTAATGTGTGTGGGGCCAGAGTTTGGGTCTCTTCCACTGTTGATACTTCCCCCATAACATTCTCTCTGTCTCTGTCTCTCTCCCTGAGATAGGATCTCACTGTGTAGTCCTGGCCTTAAACTCAGAGATCCACCTCCATCTGCTTCTGAGTGTATGGATTAAAGGCGTGCACCGCCTCACCCAGCTCTTCCTAGACACACTCTAAGGAAGGATGTAGGTGGCTAGGGATGCAGCTCAGTCACTAGAATGCTTCCCTGGCATGTGTGAAGCCAGACTTGGTCTTTTTACATCCGTGCTAATCTCCTAAAGCAGAACCTCACATAAGCATGATTTGTTGATTTGGTTTTTTGTTTTTGTTTTTTTTTTCCCGAGACAAGGTTTCTCTGTGTCGCTTTGCACCTTTCCTGGAACTCACAGAGATCCACTGTGCCTCCTAAGTGCTGGGATTAAAGGCGTGCGCCACCACTGCCCGGCTTGATTTATTGGGTGTTTTGCTTTGAGGGGGGTTAGTTTTTCCTACTTCAATTAACCTAGTCTAGAAACTCCCCGACGAACACGCCCCAGGGTCTATGTGTCCATGGTGATTCTCCATCTCATCCAGGGACTGGTGATGTCGCCCTGGGAAAGAGCTTGTCACCAAGGCTAACAACCTAGTTCAATCTCCTGGACCCACATGGTCCATGCACCCTCACACACATGAACATACATGCCGTGCTCCTGTATACACGATAACAAACACACAAAGACAGGCGTACATCTAGGGACCTACCAGCCAGGCCCAACCTTCCAAACCTTCCACAGTCTCCCCAAAATAGCACCAACAGCTAGGGAAAAGTGCTCCCAACATGAGCCTGTGAGGACAGTTCAGCGTGGGACCATTATGGTGGCAGTGGGCAGGCCAGGCAGTGCAGTGGAGAATTGCCATCGTCCTCGAGGTCACGTGACTGCTAGGGACATTATTTGACTGTCTCTTCCTGTATCCATCCTTGCAGACAGTATGGACTTCTCAAGCATGACACTGACCCAGATCAAGCGCCAGGAGATGGATTCTCAGGTAAGAAAACCAGGGCCACGGCCAAGGTCGGGCTGGCTCCATTCCCTGCACGTCGACCCCAAGTATCATTTCCCCAGGGAGAAGCCAGAGAGAAAAAGAGTAACTTAGGGGAAATGAAGTTAGGTACGGGCATGCATGTAATAATCCTGGCACTTGAGGGGCTGAGGCAAGAAGATTGTCATGAGTTTGAGGCCAGTGTGGGCTACATAGCAAGACTGTTGAAAAACAGACAAATAACAAAAAAACCAGAGGTGGCTCAGTAGTTAAGAGCATTTGCGGCCGGGCGTTGGTGGCGCACGCCTTTAATCCCAGCACTCGGGAGGCAGAGCCAGGCGGATCTCTGTGAGTTCGAGGCCAGCCTGGGCTACCAAGTGAGCTCCAGGAAAGGCGCAAAGCTACACAGAGAAACCCTGTCTCGAAAAACCAAAAAAAAAAAAAAGAGAAAAAAAAAGAGCATTTGCTTACAACAACCTATGACTCCAATTCTAGGAGGTCCAACACCTTCTGGCCTCTGTGGGCACCTGCACTCAGTTGCAAATGCCGCCCCCCGCCATGTGTATTCAAAATTAAAAATGGGAAAAAAGAGGAGAGAAGGCTAACGGTTGTGCTGTACACCTGCAGTCCTGGCCTAGGGAGGTAAAGGAATTAGAGTTCGAGGCCAGTCTGTGTTCCATGGGTCCCGGTCTTGGGGCTGCATTTTAACTTGTAACTAAGTTAAACCAATACCAGACCCTCTCACACCCTTTTCCCACAGGTTAGGGTGCTAGAGCTGGAAAATGACCTGCAGAAGGAGCGTCAAAAACTAGGAGAGCTTCGGAAGAAACACTACGAGCTGGCTGGAGTTGCCGAGGGCTGGGAGGAAGGTAAGCACGCCCCGGGTACTTGCTGCGGGTGCCGGGTGCCGCAGAAGCGGGTGCCTCGGAAGGGACGGGCTTTCCCCCAACAGGACGGGTCCCTCTACCCTGGCACTTCCTCCTCTTCCTCCCCCTTTTCATTCCTAAATAACCTGTCAGTCTAGAGATAGGCACATCGTAGAGAATGGAAAAGCTTCTGTTATAGCCCTTCCAAGTTCCAGCTGTACCCTGTGTGGTGCACAGCTGGAAACCTAACACTTGGGAGACAGAGGCAAGAAGACTGGGGATTTTGGCTGCGTAGCCAAAAACAAACAAAAAAAACCCTGACTGTTATAAAAACCTCCACGTTGGCCAGTGGACTTGTGTCCTAGTCACTACAGTGCCCTCTCTGGTTACTAGCCTTGGCATTGTTTTGTTTTTAAAGAGTTATTTTTTGGGGGGCTGGAGAGATGGCTCAGTGGTTAAGAGCACTGGCTACTCTTCCAGAGGACCCGGGTTCAATTCCCAGCACCCACATGACAGCTCACACCTGTCTGTAGCTCCAGTTCTAGGGGATCTGACACTCTCACACCAATGCACATAAAATAAAGTTAAATTATTTTTTTTTAAAAAAGAGTTATTTTTATTTTCTAGGTATAGAAACAGTTGTGAGCTGTCATGTGGGTTCTGGGGTTCAAAGTTGGGTCCTCTAGAAGAACAGCCAGTGCCCTTAACACTGAATCACCACCACCACCACCCTGGGTGGACACACACACACACACACACACACACACACACACACACACACAGAGCTTTGCTATCAAAACTGCAGTAGATGAATAGTGGTCAGTGGAGCGCTGGCAGGCAAGGCACACTAATTCTGAGGTTCTGACCATAGAGCCAGCAAAGCACCAATGTGGAGCCAGGAAGGTGGTTTGGTAGGTAAAAAGGCAAAGCTTCATGACCTGGGTTCACTTCCTGGAACCCACAGTAGAATAGAACCAATTCCCGAAAAATCTGTTCTCTTGATTTCCACATTCTGAATCTGGCATGTGTGCACTTGCGCGCACACACACACACACACATATACACCCATGCACGTACACACACAATAATAATTTTTTTTTCTGGAGCTGAGGACCGAACCCAGGGCCTTGTGCCTGCTAGGCAAGCGCTCTACCACTGAGCTAAATCCCCAACCCCAAATTTTTTAAAGGGTTCTTTTTTTTTTTTTTTTTTTTGGTTTTTCGAGACAGGGTTTCTCTGTGTAGCTTTGCGCCTTTCCTGGAACTTACTTGGTAGCCCAGGCTAGCCTCGAACTCAAAGAGATCCGCCTGGCTCTGCCTCCTGAGTGCTGGGATTAAAGGCATGCGCCACCACCGCCCGGCTAAAGGGTTCTTTAAAGTATGGCATTCGTGAACTTGAGTCTCATATGGCCACAGTCTCTCATGAAGAGTTCATGTATTCATGAGGTTCCATGTGAATTTTTTTTTTTTTTTTTTTTTTTTTTTTTTTTTTTTTTTTTTTTTTTTTTTGTCTTTGTTGTTTTTGTTTCTAGGGACAGAAGCTTCACCTCCTACTGTTCATGAAGCAATACCGGAGAAAGAGTAGGCCCAGCCAGCGCCCCACACGTCAGAATGTAAATCTTTGTTATCCTTCTGTTTGTGACCCTCCCCGTCTTGGCACACCGGGTCCTCTCCATTCACAAACGCTGAAGCCCATTCATCCGTCGTGTCTCCTCAGGACACCGCCTCTGTCTGAATGCATGATGAGTTCTCCCCTTATGTCCCTGACGTACAGGCAGGCCAGCGTTGGCCATGAGCAAGCTCAGGTCCACAGAAAAACAGCAACATGGCCAACCTGTCTTGCCTTATATTCACCTCCTCGCCAGCCATGTCCTAAGAGAGGCTTCTTGTCATTGAGAGCTTGGAGAGGGGACATCTGACACCTGTTCTCCCGCCCCCCAGTCTTTTGCATTTTGTCTTTTGCGCAAACTTGCGAGCATCTGAACTCCACTGGATTCCAAACCAGACCGCCGTTTGAATCCACAGTCAGAGGAACAGGAACAAAGGCCTGGCGGAGACTGCCAAAGCAACGCCCCCCCCCCCCTTCACACTACACTTTTGGCAGTCTGATGGATCCCCTCCTGCTTATTATTAGGTGGTCGTTTGGGTCTTTTGGTTTTATAGTCTGAACGTTTCACATAGCCAACTTTCCCAAAAAAGGGTTCCCCTCCCCGCCCCCACCCTGAGCTCTGAGCCCTTCTGAGAGGAAGGTCCACACACACACCATGGTGCGGCTCAGGCTACGCCCTGGTGCTCCAGATCAGCTCTTCCGTCAGCCAAGGCCACTTCCCAGGGTGACAGCTCTCCTCGGAAGCCTAAAGCAGAGCTAGTGCCTTTACTTTCTGACCCTGGGTGCCATCCCAAGGCCTCTGTCCACCTTCACAAGCCAGGGAGCACCAGTTTCCAAAAAAAAAAAAAAAAAAGGTGCCAGGGACCCAGCTGTTCTGGGGACATTTTTCTTAGGAGCCCATGTGAGCAGGTTCACCACCCCATCACGTGCCGGAATGGAGCTGGTATGAGCAGCAACACTACATCCCCAGAGCGAACTTCCTGTGCCATGTCACGTGGGCCACTTTCCGTCAAACCCGGGCAAGGTCCTCAGAGGGACAGATATAAAGGAGCTGGAAGTAGTTCCTTTTCCAGCTGCCTGCTCCTGCAGCCTCCTGAACCGGAAAAAGATGGTTCTGTGTGCTACTTATTCAACAGACCCACTAGCTCCCATCGGGAAGAGACCTCAGCTCTGGGTAGGACTCTTCGTATTTATTACTAACAATCTTCCTGCGACACCTGCCCCAGAGATGCTTGGAGCAATCAGGACTGAGGGTGGCCGACCAGGCTTGCCCTCTGCCCGCAGTCTCCACAGACCACAGACAAGACTAAAGAGCCATCCCTGGGCATTTCTGGGCCCCGATTCCAAAGCAGGCAGGTTCTTCGAAGCATCGAGGAGCAGGAGAGGAAGGGGACCAGCCCTGGCTGTGTCACCGACTCCGCCACTACCCACCCTTGCTCCCATGAAGACAGGGTGGGCACTGAAGGCATCCCACCTAAATACAAGCAGCCGGACAGCACTTTGCCACTCTCAAATGGACCACTGAGTTAAGTGACCTTCTGATCTGTAGCATGGGGCAGGGAGATGGCGTCTTCCTCCCTCCGGTATCTGTGACTCTTAGGTGGCAGCCAGCAGGCAATTCCTTGAGCCTGTCCCCAATGGGACGTGGCTCGGCTTTGCTGGGTAATGGGTTGTGAGGCTAATTAATGTTTGATCACTGTGAATCAACCCCCTTCTTCCTGCTCCACCCACCCTGACTCTGTCCCCCGGGGTATTTTCTAAGCCGGCACTCCATAAACTCCCAGCATCCCAGAAGTCTGCTGAGACACGTGACCTCCACATTGGGCTAAAGGAGTTACCTGCAGTGGAAACGGCCTATTCTGGTGCCGCAAGCATGTTTCTCTGCTTAGCATTTCTTCTTGAGTCCAAGGACCAGAACAAGCAAGCTGTGTGGCATTGTTGGCCCATTTATGCCAATCAAGCCAATCCGTGTGCTCGCTGTGGGTCAGCTTTTCCAAAGGAGGTTAACATAGTCAGTCCTTGCTTCTAAGGTCAGAGCGTTCCCACTTGTGTGTCCCACCAAGAGGATATCAAACGCACAGCCATAGAGTGGGATTCTCTGAATAACACGCCTGTCTGAAAAGCCAGTCATTTGTAAAACCCTAATCATTCATCTCTTCCTGAGTAGCAAAACAGTGGAGAGCCCCAGCACGAGGGGAGTCAACAGCACAAGTGTCCACCTGCTCAGTGTTGGATCAGAACTTTTTAGTGGAACTCAAGTCAGCAGCTGCCTCCCTCCAGCCAGGCTTGGCAGTGCATACCTGTAATCTTGGCTTTCAGGAGACTGAGGCAGGAAGATCCTAAATTTAAGGACAGCCTGGGCTACATACTGAGACCTTGTCTCAAAAAAAAATTTTTTTTAAATAATTAGATTATATGTGTGTGTATATAAATTATATATAACTGGGTGTTTTTTTTTGGGGGGGGGACAGGGTCTTATTATATAACCCTGGCTGGCCTCAAACTAACTATGACACCTCATTGTCCTTGAACTCACAGGGATTCCCTTCCCTTTGCCTCCCAAGTGCTGGGGTTAAAGGTGTGCACCATCCCACTCAGCCTAGACCACAATTTATTGGCTCTGCTGCTACCTAAATGGGAGTCTTTAACCCAGTGGCTGGACAAACCAAACCCTGAAAATTCTTACAGCTCAAAAGGAACAGCTTTTTCAAGCATTCCTGAGGCCCCTTAGACTAAAGTCTGCTGCATGAGTGTAGACAGATCCTCAAGGCAGGGAACTGGGGGTCCGGAGAGATAGCTCAGCAGTTAAGAGCACTTCCTTCTCTTCCCGAAGACCCAGGTTCTGTTCCCAGCACCCACATCATGTGGCTCCCAACCACCGTTAACTCCAGCTCCAAGGGATCCGATGCCCTCTACTGGTTACATGAACTCATGAGGATGCACGCAACGTCCATTTGAGTACAAATAACTCAAAAAATATTATTTCAAGACAGAAAATTAACAAGACAATGGCTTGGGTGGGGTGAAAAGGAAACTCAAATCTAGCTGTCTTTCACGTTTAACTTGTTACACTTTTCTAGTGCCTAGAGATTGAGGATATGTATGTGGGGTTCAGATCTGAGCAAGGAATTGAAATGACTCTAACGGGCTTGACAGTGGAGGCCTGCAATCCCAGCACTTGGGACACAAGCAGGAGGATCACGAGCTCAGGTCTAGCCTGGGCTATGTACTGAGACCTTATCTCAGAAAAACCAAAAATAAATTAGACTAGAGCTTAAATGGCTTGATGGCTGTACTGCGCACAGCATTATTCCTAGAATCCCACCTACATACGAGCCCTTAACCCTGTAGCTGGGGGAGCCAAACACCTCCAGGACATCCTGTCTCAGAATAGGTGTGGCTGATGGGTCCTACACCAGGCTTTATACCAGGTAACTTGAGGTCACATGTACTTGTCATTCTGGCCACATTCGTCTGCTATGACCTCTCATCTTAAGAGTTCTCATCTTGTGTCTGGGGAAAGCTTTTACTTCCTGGTCAGTGGCTTGGTTGTAGAAGGGTTTCCAGCACCATTTAACCCTAATTGTGGGGGTGGGGCTAGGGAGCTTGAGACTGGATTTCTCTGTGCAGCCTTGGCTGACTTGGAACTCACTCTGTAGCCCAGGCTGGCTTCGAACTCACAGATATCTGCCTGGCTCTGCCTCCCGAGTGCTGGGATTAAATGTGAGCGCTGCCACCGCCCGGCTTAACACTAATTTTTTAATGGCTGGCAGATGTGCTACTTTCTACTGCCTTTCCATCTCTCTGGCAACCTTGCTACAAAAGCCAGCCTTTGGAGCCAACACTCACCTGCCCATCAGAGTGGCCCTGCTCTCCCTCCGCCATCTTGGGTCCTCCGTATTTGCCTTGGAAACAGAGTGGCTTTGCCCTCTCTCTCCACCTCTCGAGTTCTCGGAGACCACACTGATTGGAAACCATCACTTGGCAGCCGCCCACACCCATCCAGAACAGCGATTGCCACCCCTGTCACACAGGTCCAGTCCAAACAGGGAACCGGCAAACACGGTGGTGGAGTACTTCCTCGCCCGGGAGCCAAAGCCAGAGACGTCTGGTTAGATGTGACTGGATCCAGTTCTGAGCATGTAGACCCTTCAGACATGTTTTTCAGGTGACCCTCAACTACCTCAGGTTTGAAGACCCTAAGTTAAACTGATGAGCGCTCTAGGGACAAACCGAGGGATCCCGTTAAATCTTGGCGAAGACGACCTAAACGTCCCAAGCTTGTAACAGACTCTGAACTTGCGGGGATGGGGTTGGTTTGGTTTGTTTATGCCCTACCTTCTGTTTTTAACCTTTTCCACAGTTTTCCATTAGAATCGTCCCTATCAGTGAATTTCACTTCTCACTTCGTGCCTACCTTCCCCGGGCAGGTGGCCAGCGGCTCTTGTCTCCTCCCAGCAGTACTTTTATTATGGAATGAAGACCTTTCTTTGTACAATGCATTGCATCTGTGTTTTCAATTTTTCCAATAAACCTGTCAGCCTGGCCGTGGAGAACAGTGAAGACGGAGGGTCAATGGAGGGCCCCTGAGGATTGGACTCCTATATCTTCTTTCTGTGTTCTGAGAGCCATGGGATTCACATGGCAGTTCACAACTCCCTTAACGCTAGTCCTAGGGTATCCAACACCGTCTTTGACCTCCTCGGGTTCCTACACATATGGACTACACATACATGTACTCAGGCACACACACACACACACACACATAAGATTCATAAACAATTTTTTGTTTTTGTTTTTCAGACAGGGTTTCTCTGTGTCGTCTTGGTTGCCCTGGAACTGGCTTTGTAAATCATGTTGGTCTTGAACTTGGAGATTCTCCTGCCTCTGCCTTCTGAGTGTCAGGACTAAAGGCATGCACCACCATACCAAGCATGCTTTCTTTTTAATAAAAGTTATTTTTTAAATACAAAAATGAGCTGGAGAGCTGGCTCAGTACTTAAGAATACTTGCTGCTCTTCAGCAGACCTGGGTTCAGTTCCCAGCACCCACATCAGATAGCGCACAACTGCCTTTAAGTCCAGCTCCAGGGGATTCTACAATCTTCTAGTTTGTGCAGCTACCTGCACGCACCTGGTGTATGCACAGAAAAGCAGATACACAAGTTTTAAAATGACAATTAAACATTGGTTTGTGTCTTAAGTGTTTCATTGCTGTGAAGAGACACCATGACAACGGCAACTCTTATCAAGGAGAACATTTCATCGGGGCTGGCTTACAGTTCAGAGGGTTAGTCCATTATCAAGGCAGGAGGCATGGCAGCATGTAAGCAGACATGGTGCTGGAGAAGTTCTACATCTGCATCTCCAGGCAGCAGAAAGCATGATCAGGCTTGAATTTCTGAGACTTCAAAGCCCACCCCTAGTGGCACACTTCCTAATAGTGCCATTCACCATGGGCCTATGGGGGGGGGGCATTTTTATTCAAACCACCACAGTTTCTAAGCTGGGGGGTGTAGCTCAATGATAGAGTGCTTGCCTACCAAGCTATGGGGTCTGTCTGCAGCATTCATAGCAAAGGATAGGGGTGGTGAGGAAGGAGGGCTGAAGTCCTGTGCACCTCTCATCCTAGCATCGGGAAACAGGCAGGAGGATTACACATTTGAGACCAGTTTGGACAACTTATGTATACTTATGTATACAGTGGAGCTCTGCTTCAAGATCCTAGAAAAGGGTGGAGCATGGTTGAAAGAATGCTCACTGAGCATGCTCAAAGCCGCAGGCTTCTCGGTATTGGATAAAACTAGGCAGGTGGCATATGGCTGCAACCCCAGCCTTTAGGAGGTAGAGGCAGGAAGATCAGAAGTTCAAGGGCATCTTTGGCTACATGGGGAGTTCAAGGCCAGCCTGGGCTACATGAAGCTGTTTCAAAAACCACTTTAAAAAAAAAAGAACATTGCACCGGGCGTTGGTGGCGAACGCCTTTAATCCCAGCACTCGGGAGGCAGAGGCAGG